TAACATCTTCCTAGACTTTGAGCTCAGCCTCTGTGGGACAGAAATCTGTTGAACCACTGGTACAGCAGAAAACAAAGTCAAAGATGCACTTGCAGGGACCTTGGCCAACAGGTTACCACCTTATGCCAGCTTTCCTCAAAAAAGAGTCACTGATTTAGTTTTGGTTTTATGTCTAGTTAGAACCACCAGTTTGAGCAACACTTGCAGAAAAATACTGAGAATCTAGGTCTCAAAGTCTTGTAAAATTTAAACTGCTAAACCAGAAGCACTTACCATGTGGAAGAACTTGAAAGCTACTGAGGATACCTCACTATAGTTCAGCCTACTCAGCTATTTCAGTATGGTTAAAATGTAACAAATTAAAGAAAATCTTGATATGAAAGATATGTGCTCAGGAAAAACACAATTAGTGCACTTGAAATGAAAAACTAGTGTAAAGAAACTAGTCCATCACAATGAGCTGAAACTAGGCATACAGTTAAAGGTAAGAAAGAGGAGAAATTAAATGAGTCTAACTGAAGTTTCTTTTACAAAAGAGACATTTTAAGATGAGAATCTCAAGCTCTGGTGCAACACAGTCATGTAGTCTCTCATTTAAAAGTAACATAATTCACATCTAATCCTTGTGGCTACACCAAAAAGCTGTCAGAGTTATGATCTAGGTTCAGTACAAGGGTTAAAAAATCAGGAGAAAAAGAACCAAAAGTACATATAAAGTCTAGCCAATCAACCCAGAAATACCACTTTTGAACTTATCTTAGCATTTTGAGATAGCTTTGTGATCTGAGTCTTATTAGTGGGTGAATTTGGATCAAAATCAGAGATACAGTACTAAGCATCCCCTTAAACATAACAGTACTCCAGCTAGCCTTTTGGTATAAAGACTTATGAATTCAGAAATTTAGTTACTGGCACACAATTACTTCAGACTTATCCACAAGAGTGGGTTTGCTTCTGTATCACAAGAGGAGATATAGACAGACTCAGAGTTGCAGAAGGAAAGAAGGAAGCAAAGGATTCCCTATCTGTAACTACCCATGTTCAGGGAGCGTGCAAATATTCAGGATAGCCCTTTTAAAGCCCATTAAGTTGGCTGGCTGAGCCAGACTGCTTGAGGGCTCATCAAACTCTTCTTGACTATTTTTACTTACAGACAACCCCTGTGAAACCATGTATTTAATGTAACTATGCATAATACTGTAGAACTTCACAGGCTTTCACAGTGCACAAAATAAGCCTTCATTCTGCCATCACATTTTTTCCCTAGAACATCATGCTGAAATTTCTCTTTCTATTTAGTTAGGCTGCTTAAATAAATAAATCTCAGTCCCTCTAGCACTGTATCATTCATATTTAAATTGTTAGTCTATAGATAACTGTTTTCTGCCTTCTATACTTAATCCCTCTGCCTCTCTTACATATCTTGTGTTCAAGATTATTAAATGCTGGATGGAATTTATAGCCAGAGTAAAGCCCCATCTGTCATCCAAGTTTTGCTATACTTGGATTAACTCAGTAGCACTTGCATACTGACTTAAAGAAAAAAGCTAATCTCAGTTCATGCCATACTAGAGTGCTTTTCACTGTGTAACAGTGGAGCAAATCTCTTCCACTGGAACATGAATCGCTTCTAATGCCATCCAGATTTTTACGTTTATTGAGTTTTTCTGACTAAGTCTGACCCTTGGGTTTGCCTTCATTAGGTGTTGCACTGTTCAGCTACTTGGCAGTACAGACTAACAAGCTTCAATTCACCTTCAGGCTGGGAGCCCTGCTTCCTGAGCTCTGGCAAGAAAGCTTTGGCTATTTAAAACATCACTGCCCTCACCTTGCCGAAGTCCTGGATGTTACTGCTCTGGTGGCAGAGTGGCAGGGCACTGCCTCCTTGCCTGTCCTTGGCCACTGGTCCGCACATTAACCAAGCAAGGGATCAGCTTTTTGACCGGCACTAGCTGCACCTGCTGGGGAAGCATCCCCCAACCATAAGGAGAGGCAGGCAGCCAGGTGGTTTGTTTTAAACCATGCTCAGGGCTCCTTACAGGGCTTTTACTCATGATGGCATAGGAGCATCAGAGAGCACTGGCGAGGCTTCTGAAGGTAGAATGCAGTGCAGTTACCAGATTTTAGCTGTATGCTTCCTAAACAGGGAAAAGCTTGGCCAGCCTCATAGCACTCACACATACTACTTGAAAGCCCTGATCAAACTACCTTGGTTGTTTGGTTAATGTAGGCAGCTCTTGATCCTCATCTCCACAGTAGCTCACAGATCCACCAGAAAGCAGCGCTATTAGTCTCACAACACTTGCAAAGAGTAGATGCCTGCCTTTGGGTATGTCATTGTGTCCCTGGGACACATCTGAGTGTTGGAGAGCACTTGCAGAACAGATCACTTCAATACAGAGACAATGGATATATGTGAGAATTCAGTTACCCAGCTGCCAACCTGGGACTTCAGAAGAGGCTACGAATGTGGCAGTGAAACTGGACTAGATAAGATATGCAATTCTGGGTTTGTACTTTAATATTCAGGGACTTACAGGATGCCTATAAATGTTGGCTTTGGCAGGTAGAAACAGACTAACAATTCACTTTGTTCCTTCCATTTCCATTTCTGTATGGTGCTCTAAGTACTCCATTCTCTACACAAAACTGCTCTATCAGTTCATTAATTATGTGCATGTGGGAAAAACTTCCAAGGGAAAGGAAAGAAGAAAGAATAAATTCCACATTTAGGTCTGAAACTCAGGAGCAAGTGCAGGTGCTATACAGACACACGTTAGACATCCCAATCTCTCTGCCTCCAGAAAAGGTAACACGTTTACATTATTAGTTAGCATACGCTCACTAAAGCCATGGTTTGTGCTCACTCTTAGCTCTCACAGACATTAGTTCTGCAGCTGATCGCCAGGCTGGAAATTCATCTTCTTTGCCTCATCCTCTTATTAGGTATTCAATTTTCTCTCTAGAAGCTGCTATAGGAGCTTATGATTATGAAAAGAAACCACTTCTCCCTGAGAGCAGGGGTCCTGATACTTGTATGGAGCCATGCTTTTGTACTTTGTCTGCAGTGAGAGGTGACACAGAAAGCAGAGCACTAGTGTAGCATGTTCCCTCTCCTATACACACAGTGGATCACAGATCTTTCTACTGGATCTACTGGGCAGAAACCAGCAGGAGCGTGTGGAAGAACCAGTCCACTTCCTGAACAGCTTTGGAAAGCACCACAGTTGACCACTCCAAAGAAAACACACTGTGATCACACATCCTTCTGCAGGCTTTGTTCCTGTGCTGTCCATTCTGTTTCTTTACCCTTCAAGTTATTCTTCTGTTCCTTCATCTTCTTAAATACATCTCACCATACTGAGTTATGGCATGATGTGTTCTGTGGCACACATACTCCTTCATTCATGCTTCCCCAGTCTGTCACCTCATCTCTACTCAAAAGAGCTTAAGCTAGACCCAGCTACATAAGCAAACTCCTGGGCTTACCTGCCCTGATGCAGAGGTCTACTCATAAGGACAAGCTGTATCCAAACCACTCCAGCGTAGGCTCAAATCCTTTCTCAAAATTCAGAGCTCTTGCTCATGAATCCCTCAAAGCAAAGCATCTTCTCTGCCCAATAAAATTTGTGGTGCCACGTGGGGGAGCTTGTGCTGTAGCTAAAGCTCATCACTTCTAGATCGAGAGAAAAGGGCAGCTGAGCAGCATTAACAATTTCAGCTGCTGAAAACTCTCTTCTGCACAGGCTGGTTGAAAATCATGACATATGCATACATAGTGCACACTCACTTTAATAGATGTTCCTTTTCAAAATTATCTTAGGTGACAGTCATTGACTTTGCCTTGAAAAAGCAGCCAAACCCATAACTCATAAACTGTAACTCATAGACCTGGCAACTTGCAGTTGCCCTTATCCTGGTAGAATCATGGAATCATTTAGGTTGGAAAAGACTCTAAGATCACTGAGTCCATCCATTAACCCAGCACTGCCAAGTCCACCACCAAACCATGTCCCTAAGTGCCACACCAAATAAATAGTGAGCAAAATGATAGATCAAATAAAATGAAAATTCCTGTATTTTAAAGGGATAAGCGAAGCAAATGAGTAATGGGGATCAGTTCCAGATGTACACTGAGATGATTTACATAAACTACAACCAGGCTGGAGTTAACTTTAGTCCTTGCTAAGCTGCGTTTGGCTGCAAAGCCATCTTGACAGCTGAAGTAAAAGCAAGTGAACAAGCAATCCAAAAGGCAAGGAATTTGTCTCATAGTATTTAGGAAATAGATGGACCTGAAGTCTACTTGGAAACCCTTAAAATGACAACCATGTCTTAAGAGACAAAGAGAGTTAATACTTAGCTCTCCAAGTCATTCAGAAAATAAGCAATCTGGTAGCCTGAGATGAAAAACGACATGGGGTTTTTGGTTGTTGTTTTGTTTTTTTTGGCGGGGGAGAGGAAAGGGTGTGGTTGGTTTTTGTTGTTGTTGTCGGTTTTGTCGGGTTTTTTTTTACCAAATAGTTCAAGAGCAGTTTGTAGGTATGAAGAAGTCTGGCCATATGGAAAGGGAAAACAGATGGGGGAAGTCCAGCCTTAAGCTTCACCCTCCAACCACCCCGCAGGGTAGTCAGAGACCTCTCACAAAGTATTACATTGCCTTGTACGCAAAATATCTCGCAGTCTGGATAATTTACATCACACAAAGCAGCGCACGGAAGGGACGCCGTGGGGCAGACGGGAGAGTCGGGCTCACCATCGGCACGTTCCACATTCCCTGCGCGCCCAGCTGACGGTCGGGCGCGGGATAGGAAGGCGGCCGAGGGAAGAAGGCGCAAGGGCCGCCCCGCATCCCCCGGCCGAGCGGGGCGGGCTCTGCCGCAGCCCCGGGCGCGGCCGCCGGGCGGGGCGGGGCGGCGGCCCGGCCCATAAGAGGCGCGGGGCAGCGGTGGCCGCAGGAGCATTGGGAGTCGCAGCGGGAGGGAGGAAGGAAAGGGAGGATGCAGGCGGCGCCCGGGGCATGGCGGCCGCCCCTTCAAGCTGAGGAAGAGTTTCGGTAGGGGCGGCGAGGGGCGCGGAGGGGCTGAGCGGGGCCGACGGGCCGCGCCCACGCGTAACTCTCCTCTCTTTTCCTCTCCTCTCCCGCACAGCCACCCGTCTGGAAGAAGTAGCAGGAATCCGGGCGAAGTTCCCAACAAAAATCCCGGTAAATCTCTATTTTGTTTTCGGAGGTTTTTGCCAACATTCTAAAAAGTAGCGTTGGGAACCTCTCTCTAAAATGTGGGAGGGGAGGGGACGTTTTAGGTTTTGCTGACTATGGCTCTAATTAAAACAGGTAATTGTTGAGCGATACCATAAAGAGAAGTACCTTCCTCTCCTGGACAAAACCAAGTTTCTGGTTCCCGAGGAGCTGACCATGACACAGTTCATAACCATTATCAGGTGGGTAGCTGGGGCTGGCTGCTGCTCTCCAGCCAGGTGTTTCTTGGCGCTGTACTGGGACATCTTGCTTGCCTTGGTAGGGAGGAGGATAAAGGTGTTAATAATGTAATGGCTTCCCTTTCTTGCAGCTTTTCAAAGAAAATGAACAGTTGTTTTCACAGGTGCATTTGGGGAAAAAAATGGGGTCTATGCTTTTTTTGAATCCTAAAGTCTTCTGTCTTCTCACTAACTGTAGTGCATAAAGACTCCTGTTCTGCTTTCTTCCTGCTTGATGGACTTGGTACTGGGGATCTGTGATTTTGTTCTGCTTATGACTACCACTGCCTTGCTCTCTTGCTACATCTAGCTGAATGTGCTCAAGTTCAAAGCACTCCTACATGTGAGTGGTATGAAATGTGCTTCTAAATTGATTTTAATGAAATGTTACAGGGAAGAAGTCTCCCAAAATATTATTTTCTGATAAAGTATGAAGGCTGTGTGCTTTCCAGCACATTTCTTAAAGTATAGGAAAAGACCTTTCTAGATTATAATTTCTGTAAAAGATGCTTTTGGCTCTTGGACAATTTAGATCCTGAGCCTTGTATGTAATGTGTGTGACAAGGATTCTTCTTTTGAAGGTAGACTTTATAGTAAGTGTAGCAGACTGCTGCTGGAATCTTTTACAAAATCTGTACTGCAGAAGCTTTTAGGTTCTGCTTGAGCTTTTCCCTGGTAACTGTGAACTCAAAGCCCATGCTCAGTAGCACTCATAGTCTAACCATGTAAGCCTTTCCCCAGAGCACAAGCCTTTTGGCTTCCAAACATAGTTAACTTCCTGCTGATGAAGACATTAAACCACAAAATGACATTATGCAGAATTTCTTGTATATAGTTCATGCAAACTGCTTTGCTTAATGTATTTCATAGACTGAAGTTGAAACCATAATACATTTGCTAATTCTTATTCTTTATTTCTCCTCCCTTTTTCAATTAGAAGCAGGATGGCTCTAACTGCTACACAAGCTTTCTACCTGCTGGTGAACAACAAAAGCCTGGCCAGTATGTCTTTGACAATGGCAGAAGTGTACAGGGACTACAAAGATGAAGATGGCTTTGTATATATGACCTATGCTTCCCAGGAGATGTTTGGATGCTTTTTGACCACTGCTCAAGGGAAAACTATGGAATGCTTTCAGAAAACTTAAGGTTGGGTCCATGTGCTGCAGCAAAGCAGTTTGCTATGAATCATGCCTGTGACATGAACCTTGGAGATACTCCTTCCACTGTGAGCTCTTGAGCTTTGTAGTGAGGAGTTATGACCCAGAAGCTGGCAGGACCAGCTTAAGGCAGAAAAAGTGGTACACTCTTCTTAGGTAATAATTTGGATATATATTTTTATATTTCAAGACACTATGGGGTTTTTTTTTTGAACTGCACCTCCACTTTTTTGCAATATCAATCTTTGTTGTGTAACTGATTTTTAAGGTGCCCTGGAAGCCAAGTCTAAGAGTAAAATAAAGAAGTTTTTTAAGTATTGAGTTGCATATTAGTTTTAATCTGGGGAAAAACTGTTAAAGTCTGTCTAGGAGAAGGTCTTATAATAATTTTGGGAATTTGAGTTCAGTGCGTTTTAAATGAAGCACTGCTTGTGTAGCTACTCTGAATTTTTGAATGGAGTGTCAAAGCTTAAGTCATGTCACCCACAAGCAAAACCATACCTATAAATGGTTTATTAAGCTGCATATCTGAGCTGTGAGATTAAGCAGGACTGTATTAGTGCCAGAGCAGTATTAAGTTTAACACCTGGATAAACTACTATCAGCTGTTACAGAAAACACTATCTGTGATATAGATAACTAGTTGTTTAAATAAGTAAACTGATGGCTAGTCAGCATAACATGCAGATAGCATGACTTGAAGAGTAATCAAGTGTTCAAGAGTCTGTTCTTGCACCTGAATGTTGCTGTTGTGGTTCCTGTAGATATTATGTCCATCCCCTACAGACACCTTCTAGTCAGGTACCCAAAGGACTTCAGTGAGCCTTCTTTCACAGATGGGTAGAGTTAAGTAATGCACCTTGTGCTTAAGAGATATTCCATTGTCTCCAGAAAATGTCAAATGTCATATACTAAGATGCCAATTCATCTTAATGTACAGACTTGGTTCCTAAACATGTGTTAAAGGAACACTTGACATGAGTCTTAGTCTGAAGTATTTCTCAAGCTGTCTTTCCTGGTCCTCTCACACGTGAGGAATGTATTGCAAAGCTGGAAGTGCTCTGATCATGCCTGATCAACATAAAACACCAGGTAATTTAAAAATCTATCACAGTGTGTGGTTAATTAAACAACCTCTGGCAGCTTTAGTTTAGGATTGGTCAAATTGCTACAATATGATGCAATTCTTCAGTACTAAACTGATTTGCAGAATGATTAATATAGGAATTACTAGACTGCAAAGAAAGAAGTGTTGACAGTATTTAAATTATGCATAAGGAAGGAATGTATGTGTAAGCTTTTTGCAATGGTTCTCTTGCATTAATAATCTCTTGAACTTGAAGCTCTGAGCAGACCTGGGTTTGAGCCTCCAAACCAGGGGATTTAGAGGAGGACCTGCATTAGTGAAGGTGGTGGTTGCCAACTCATGTTTCATGAGCTGAGGAACAAAGAAATCATTGAACTGACCGACTCTGTGGAAAGGCTAAGGCTATGTCAGTATGGGTTATGAAAACATGTGGGCTTTGGGATCCCAGAACCAGTTGCTTGCATATATTTCACTTATGCTTGTCATGGAAACAGTTTCCATTGCACAAATTGAACTCAAATAGTCATTTGTTACCAGCCCTCAGGGAGGCAGAGACACCTGTTTGGCAGGAGCCCCACACAGCAATGTTGAACAGCTGTGGGAACCTTGGGGTAGGGAGAGCAAGGGGAGTCTTGCTGTGTTCAAGCTCTCTTGCCAGTCTAGAGGTGGGCTATATTTTGCTTCATTGGCTCCTCTGTCTTCCTATCTTGTGTGGTACTTGGTACATGAAGAGAGAAGGACTACAGATTCTTGGCTGGAGCAGTTTTGTCTGACAGCCAGCTTTCTTTGGTTTGTAATGCAGTGGCTAAGGTGTAAGTGTTGATCCCTGCAGCACTTGTTGACATTAGGCTATGGTGTCTACAGGCTGAGTCAGATCCAGCCAAAAAAGTTACACAAGGAGAAGGTCAGTTAGAGGTAAAGAAGGTAAAGAGCATCATTATAAACCTGTTTAAACTGGCCTGCTGAACCTAGAGAGAAGTCCCGTGAACTGGGAAAGCTTCATCACTGGGTAATAGTAATAGACTTGCCCTTCTACCAGATGTTGAAGCAAGTAGGGTATTAACCATCAAAGACAGTTTTTACGAAGTCTTAAAATAATAAACTAGGACTTATGTGCCCAAATAATTCTTTTTCCTGCTTGTGAAGTTGCTTTGGTGTGCTTAGAAGCTTTGAATTCAGCCTATTCTCTCTTGAAGTACAAGGAACAAGAATTAGAAAAGAAGCAAACAAAAGCTTTGCTCTGATTGACATGCAGCTGAGATAACTGCAGCTACTTCAATGTAGCTGCTGTTTGAAGAGCTAATGTTTGCTTCAGCAAATACCTACTGATAAGAGACAGGTACATGTTTTTGCAATAAAGGACACAATGCCACAGTAAACAAATTTTATAACCCAATGTACCCCTAATGTAAAAAGAGAAGGCAGAGATGCCATTTGTTTTTAAAAGTATCTTTATTTCTGAATTATTATATGTACTTTTATTCATTAATATAAAAGATTTCCACCAGAGGAAAGAAAACATTCTGAGGATACCTCTGTTTCTTCCACAGACTACCAGCTAAATCCTGGAAGGTGCTCAGTGCTCTGGCTTCTAAGCCAGTATGTGGTCTGCTAAAGTAACTTGTTAGGTTGGGTCCACGGCACTGAGCCCCTTGTGAGACTAAGCACTCTGCCCTGATTTCAAATATAAAACCAATCAAACTCAAAGGACCCTGAATGTAAGTGTGGTATGAGGGCTGAAACTACCCTTCCAGTTGAGATAGAAGTTTGAGTGTTGTGTAAAATACAGTACTGGCAGAGTTGTGAATTTATTATAGCCAAGTGGAATCATAAAGAAAAATCATTGAACTCTGTTTTCTTACAATGTTACCAAGGTACTAAAGAAGTTCTCATGTCAGAAAGCACTGATACTGCTGAAGTTAAGAGGGAAATAAAAAAACATCTGAAATCTGAGGCTACAGCCTTGCTGTGCTAAAAATGCTTTTTTAATGAAATGTGCCATTCATGTCTAATGTATGCCTTCACAGTGACTGCTCTGGGAACAGGATGACTTTCAAGACCTGAACAAATGTCACTCCTGAGGTACATGCTCTAGGCTGTGTGTGCTCTGAATGCTCTTAAGGGCAACTGGAGAAGAACACAGTACCATTTAAAAACAACAAAAAGAAGACCCATAAGCTCTCCTGGTCAAAAAAAAAAAAAAGTCTTACCAATGCATTTGAATTTCAAGTGAGTAGAAAGCAGTGTGCTTTTTTCCTATGCCTGCTAAGGTGAGAGATTCACCTATCTGTATTTTCCTTAGATGTCCTATGGCCATCTACAGTCACAGTACAACTTGTGTACAACGCTTTATGGAGTGCAAATTGGCATTTGTTGCTGCAAGGCAAACATTATAACCTCAGCTTGGGCTTTAGCACATAAGCAACAGCAGGAGCTTTCCAAACTGTGTGGATTTAAAAATGACTTAACATTATGTGTTGGTAGAATCAATAAATGAACGGGGATACTAATCTTCTTTTTGAAGTATTGCAGGCAACAACTCTTGTGAATTTAGATGGGCTTTTTATTGTTTTCCCATGCTAACTATTTCCAGATGGTCGTAGTTTCAGGATAAAAATATTTTGAAAAGATACATGGTTAAACACACTTAAGTGACAGACTGTATCTTCCTCTGCAAAGGAGTTCCTTTGTTTGTGTAAGATACAGTAAATTAAAAAGGTAGAATGAAATGACAGGACAAAATATAACCTTCAGCATCAAATTGCCCTACTCTATTCCTCTTTCAAGAAAGCCTGTGGGGAAACTGTAGGGGGGAAAGCAAAATTACCTAAGCATGAGAAAAATGGTTTTTAAAAACCAGCATTCTGACTTAGGGAATATGAAGTAGGGGGGAAGAGAGGGATGTTTTCTATGAAAAAACCTCTAGGGGATCCCTGAAGGTGATTGAGAAATGCAATTTCATGTATGTTACAGTGCAACCTATAAACAAAACTTGTAATGGCACACATGCTTCCCTCAAGGATCACTGTTCCAGAAAGCTTTCTAGAAAAATCTTAAGATAGCATAGTTTTGAATCACTCTATTAAAAAAAAAAAAAAAAAAGGCAACCAAAACCAGAATTCTACCTGTGGGTATGTGGTTAGTTTATTTAGCTTTCCTAGGACACTTTGAAATAACTAGCTCTACCCCCTTTTCTCCTCTGATGTTTTTAGATTGCATCTTAGTTGGCTACTACTGTTTCTACATAGTCTACAATATGCAAAGGTGGTTGAGTCCTATAATAAATAGCAGTCTGACCCTACTTTAGAAGAACATGAATATAATTGCAATGAAGGTAGCTAATGCCCTTGAAGTTCCTCCCCAGAAAGTCACGATCACATCACTTTCTTTCTGTTACTTTTAATATGATGCCTCTCTTGTGACTGTAATGTTCTTACACAAAATTGTAGCAGTGCAGTCCATGCGGGTTTTGAAGAACGTAAAGCAAGTCTTGATGCCACAGTTTGAAAAGCATCACTGTCCCCTCCCCTGCAGTGGCAGACCCTCAGGAGGGTTGGAGTGTGCCCAGCTGGGTGCATGTAGAGCTTCCAGAGCAGGCAAGTAGGGACTGAGGAGGGGCTGCTTGGGTTGCTCAGCACTTACATCATGTCCATCAGGGACTGTAAAGGGCCTTTATGAGGCTGCTCATGATTTGTTGCAGGGTGGGCTTGGCGTATGATGTTTATGTTTGCAAGTATTTCAAGACTCTGGCTTCAGTTTCTTTCTGTGTATAACAGCATGGTCTGGATCTTAATCAGACCTTCAGCCCAAATGTCTCTGATGTCAGAAGAGCTGTCGATTACATGGTCCTTGATGGCAAAAAGAACCGGCTTCATCTACTGTTGACCAAGAACATCCCTAAAAATTTATGTCTCAGTCTCAAGAACAGAACCTGTCTTGTTTGCCAGATTGATTTGTAGGGAAATCTTTAGGTCATCTAACCAGTGGGTGAGGAGAGGGGGTAGAGTGAGCCAGGGGGTTAAGCATGCATATAACTGTTTCCACCCAAAGCAGCTGCAGCC